ACGCAAAGCATGCACACACATTCGAGCGTGTTTGCAGGGATTCAATGAACAATAGGGTTTGAGAAACAAACAGCAGACAGAGAGGAGCTGTGTGTTAGCAGGGCTGAGAGGCAGGGGACAGGGTTGGTGGGCTACGTCTGTCCTTCAGCAGAGAGGAACACAACTCGTTTTGTCTCCGTCAGCACCTCCCCATCACGTCTCCATATCACCCCGACAGGAAAAAACAACAAAAAACACCCTCACAACTCGTCTTTCTGGAAACTGCACAAATATCCCTTGTGTTTCAGAATGACTCATTGTTTCATTTCGCCATTTCATGACTACAAAGTCTGTCTATCTGTCTGTAATGGTGGAGTTTAAGTTGGTGGGCGGGTGCACCGATGGGTTTTTAAAGGACAGCTGCTTCCCTTGGCAGACATGTCACTTCCTGCTGAACATTTTGGCTCTAGCCAGTGAAACAGAAAACTGGGCTGAAGGTTCACTTCAAGTTGTGCATCTGAGGATTCTTTCACTCATCATTTTGAAGTCACAACTCCAAAGCCTTTTCTGTACTCAGCACACACACCGTGTTAACATGTACAGTAGGAGAGGAGACAGGGTGTGTGTTTTCTTACAGCAGCCAGCCTACGATTTGGAGGTTAACGTGTACCATCAACAGATACTTAGCCCAATGAGCTACACACTATTTGTTGATGAAATGCATGAACGAGTACACAGTCAGCACATACACATCCTAATAAAAGGATCAGTCTCTGAAAATGACAATAATGTTCCTCCTCCTGGCCTCCCTCTGCAACTCCTCCCTGCTAAACGCTGCACCGTGTAATAAGAGTTCAGTTTGGCCGGCTGTCTGCCAGGCACACACAGCAGCTAATGTAATCTGTGATGCAATCTGGCCTGAGTGGGCTGGTTCAGCAATTCTACACACGCACACACACATACACACACACACACACACACACACACACACACACACACACACACACACACACACACACACACACACACACACACACACACACACACACACACACACACACACACACACACACACACACACACTGCATGTGATCTTAAATAAGTGTGAAATATGCATAGGTTCTCACACCTCACTATCATGTGTTGACAGCGCTCTGTTGCAGCCACGTTAGAGCAAAATTGAAGGCAAAATTGGAATATACAGGAATGAATGTAAAGATATAACAGTCAGATATTTTGTTAAAGGCAGTCAGTATTATACAACAACACCTTATAATGTAAAATAATAGACAGCGGGCCTGATTCACAAAAAGATAGTGCTGCTTCTGAACGTATGCAAATGAGTCAAAAAGTCACCGTCTCTTTAACAAAAAATATGCAAAGGGTTAAATGCACCCTTAAATAAGCTGCAGAGCAAACTGTACGTCAATGCTCTTTGGGGCATATTTAACTAAACCACTATGCATTCATTTGGGGAATCATTTTCCTCGTTCTATACAAATCAGCCTCATCGCAAAAAGCATCTAATTAACAAACAGCCGTGTGCAGGTAGAGTACAAAAATGGCCGTCCCCTTAGAGTTGGTGGTAACTGCACCACACTTTTGATAAGAGATGTCACAAACAAACATTTCAATCATCAGGAAGACAATTCCACACAGTGTGACTAGAAGCAGGCGATGACATGTGTTCCCAACAAGAGAAAAACTCCAAACTGCTGTGAGTTGTTTCACTCTGTAGACCAGTGTTACAAACATGTTACCGACTAACAAAAAAAAAAGTGATCTCACATATCGGTGTACTTAGACTAGGGCTACATACTGCATAAAATGGGATAAACATGAGTCTAAATGTTGCTGATGGTTTTAACCGTGCCTGATTGTAGATTGTGCTGTGACACTCTCAGTCAGTCAGCATGAGGTCAGCTTCCTGCAGAGTAAAGATGCATGCTGGCTTCTTTCCACAATCAGACACCAAACAGAAGAAGATTGCACGGAGCGGGGCAACTTATAATTAGAATATAATTAGCGCTTTATGCTTTGTGAATTAGACTTTAAGACGGAGCAGATAGAGGGAGAAAATGATGAATGGACTTTTGTGGTTTTCGGACTACTCAAAAGAAGCAGCGGGAGCACATTAGGTTTAGTGTTCTACCCAAGGACACTTTGACATGTGGCTGCAGGAGCTTGGGAGATCGAACCCCTGACCTTCCACTTGAGAGATAACCGACTCTACCACTGAGCAACAGACACAGCAAGAACTCCTCACCACCGCCAGCTGTTCTAAGTTTGACAGGCCCTCAGTTTTATATGGGGAAGCATGCAAGAGTGAAAAACATGCAAGTTCATGTCACAAGTGTATTTTGACATATTTGATACAAATCTTTTAATTCAGGCGTTCTGTTTTTCTTTGCAGTATGTTTGTGTCTCACTTAGCATTCACTTCTCTTCTTTAACTGTGAATATTCCTCTGCCTCCATATGCTCAACATGATCCCTGCAGCCCCAGCTTCTTTAATACTTAGAGGAAAAAAATAAAACTGAATCAACTGGATAAAGATTGACATGTGTTCGAGCAGATGACCGGCTTGTTAGAGCTTCATGCATTTTCAGAGGTAAGAGCAGATGGAGAGGGGGGAATTCAAGGTCTCCGCCCATCTTGAATAAATATTTGTGCATTATTTGACCGACTCAATCTGTTCTGGAGTGAGCTGGACTGTGTTTAACATGTTTACTGTTTAGATACTTGAACACATGGCCAAAAAAAAGAACACATTGGAAAGCATGTTTTTTAAAGGAGCAATCAGTAAGATGTGTAGTGAGAGAAATGATAAAGTGACCTTACTATATGATCAGACATTAAGGAAACATGCTATGTTGAAGTGCTGGCTTCTCTGACAACAATGCAGCAGCCAGTATGTCCTCCTTCTAACTTTAGATTCTGGTCCTGAATGCTCTGGATTTGTTTGCACCAGAGAAGGTAGGCGGTTTTAAGGCACCCCCCCACACGGCCGTTTTGGACGCCCCTCGGTTTGTCAGATATGAGAGCAGTTATCAGGTCAAACCAACAGGTGTTGCAGCGATGGAAGCGGGCAAGAGAACTGGTTCAGATAGAAGTGATTGTACCCGACCTAAAAAGCCTCTGCATGTTTCTAATAAGCTCCACGAGCAGAAACGTGTTCAAACTAGGATCAATATTGGAGATGCTTTTGAAAAATGGAGAGAGGTTAGAACACAGAAAGGTTTACAGAACGATGCAGAGCTGGATAAACACTGAAGCTTCAGCGTCCAACACATGACAACCTGCATGAGCATCAACTCTGGGGGGGGGGGGGGAGACAGCTCTCTAATGTTTTGAATCTGGACTGCAGTACCCATTTTAAACAGTAGGTGTCTGAGTTACATATTGCTCATTTAACAGCACACTGAATTTATTACATACCCATTTCCCCAAAAAATTTAGATGATAATAATAATGATCCGCAAAATATTAAAAACCTCAAACAAGCGCACCCCATGCTTTGAATACCTGAGTTCCTAAACGTTGACATGACGTGCATCTTTTCAGAGAGTTGCTCTTTTTTTAACAGCATTCCAAAAAAGGCTGCACAAAGAGTGAAACAGGAACGCAAACTTTCTGGACCTCGCCATGCATCACATTACATTAGGAACCCTCTATAAATAGTATCTCATTAGAGGCTTTTCTGCACTCGGCAGGCTCAGGCCAGGTGTTCCATTGAAACAGGAGGCATCAGTAATTAAAGCGGCTGGAAGAGGCTGGGATATGATCAAGCAGAACAGCCTCCTAATGAATAACGGTGATAGAGATGATTGCAAAGCCCTGACCCTTTGCTCACGAGGCACAGCACTCAGATCCTGTCTTTAGTTTAATTCTGATGAGACACCAATTAAAGCGTCCTGCATCGCTACTCGCTTTGCAGAGACGAGCCAGTTACATCAGGAACTCCAGCCAACACGCCGCACATCGTGACTGTTTCAAAAGAGACACTGCTCCAGGCCCACGCAGCAGACCACACACCGCTGCAGGAATATAGATTTGGATTAGGATTACCTTCAGAGCATGTCGTAACAGCAGATTGTGTTTTATTGGAGAATGTTAAGCGGGAGAGGCTCCATCGATTGATTCGTGCAAAGAGAGGGTAGAACCTTGGCTGCATACTGATAAAAAAAAGACTGATAGTTACAACGCTGGCCGTGTTTAATTCACTGTAGATGAGTAAAGGCAAGGTTAATGTTCAGCAAGGTTCAATCCACGTTGAAGATAAAGTGAGATAAAAGGAGAATGTCTCCGTGTTATTAGACTATCAGGATTCATCGGCAGAAAAAAAGGGCAAAGTGTTGAAACTGATTCTGTTTCACAATCCCAACAAGACAACTGCGTCTGATATCACCTTCATCGTATGAACGAATCAGAATGAGACTCCAGGTTACTGCCTGAGAAGTTTACAGATACAAAGAATATGTCTCTGTGTTTTGGTGCAAAGAAATATTAACAAAGAAGAAGAATTAAAAAAAAAAAAAAAAAAAAAAGCTTTAAAACAGCATTTCTGTAGCGGAGTTTTAACTGAACAAGGTAAAAGAGGAGGTAGGGAGTCGGCCTCAGCACGTCTGCAGTGCAGATGTGAGGTACCCATCTGCACAGATCGACCCGAAACACAGTGAACCTTTCCAGCACTCGTTCATCAGATGCATCTGTCCCTCTGTGTGTCCCTGACTGTAGACTGCAGCACGCTCCGCCGCGCTTCATTATTATTCCTGTAATATTCTTTGGTTACGGTGACACACATAATTAATGGATATAAAATAAGAAGTATTTTCTGCCACAAATACCATTCACACAGGCTGGGAGAAAGAGAGAGACGGGTAAGAGACGCATGCAATACTCCAATGAAAAAGTAACGATTGAAAAACAAAATCAAAGTGTATAGAATGCGTGAAAAGGAGGAGCTGTAGAGTTGTGCACTAATGAACAGTGTGCAGTGTGGAAGTCATCATGAAGCCTACCTGTGACCTGCAGTTTCTCTGCTGTGACCTCACACTTGAGGTAGAGACGCCCCCTCCTCTCGGTGTGATCCGTTCCACACAGGCTGGGCACGTTCATCACACACTGGTTATGGACGTTCATATCGCAGGCTGCAGGGACGCGGAGATGAGAGAAAGAGACATGAGGGGAAATAAAGATGACAAATGATATTGGTGCTTTTGTTTTACACAAATCCAACTTAACTGAAAAGATTCAGGCTTTCTTACATTTGGCTTCTGTTGCATTTGTAACACTTAATGTGAATATAAAAGCCTGTATGTGTGTGTGTGTGTGTGTGTGTGTGTGTGTGTGTGTGTGTGTGTGTCAGTGCCCTCTGTGTGTATGAGACTCTGTCCTTTTTCTTGTTTTATTCACAGATAGCTGTAACCTAACTAAACTAAACTAATCTAGAACCCCTTGAACCTTGTGTTCAAAAATTCACAACAGATTTACTGTGTACATTTGTTTAAAGCTCCTGTGAGGAACTTCTGCTTTGTGTTGAGTTTGGCGCCCCCTATGGAAAAAGCTGAATCTTAATTCCTTGCTGATCCTGTCCTGATCCTGTCCTGTGGGACTTGCCTCTCACTCATCGACAATTTTTGCTGTGGAAAATGCAACCCAAAAAAAAAAACATTTTGAGTTTGATGCTGAAAATATGTTTCAAAAAAGTTTTAGTGTCAACAATGATGTAACGTCGAAACAACACCTAATGCAACATCCCACAGTTTATATGGTTAACTGGAAACATGTCTCTGTAGTTAAAGAGTCAGGCTAATAAACTGTTTGAGCTGGACCTTCACCATGCAAAGCCATTTGCAAAAACTGAAAACCGTTTATATACAAGATCCAGGAAGATGCCCTTTCTGGGTCCAGTCCCATTAAAAAAGTGAAAAACTGTCCTGAGGCCTGACGGCTCAGAATGTGACTTTCTTAAAAAGAAATCCTGGATGCAGTGTCCTCCAGGCTGAAGAGGAGAGGGACCATCCAGCTTTAATGAAACACGGTATAGTAAGAGTAATGTGTGCAGCCTCTCTGGCTTCATATCTGAAGTCAGTAAGCCGGGAGATTTATTTCACATATAGAAGGACATATTTCAATTTCATTCCTCAGATTATAAATGTTTGGCTCGATATGAAAGAATCAGAGCTGTGAGGTAAAAGGTTTATGACCCACATGTAGCCACACATTACATCATCACACCACCAGGTTAGTAGGTGAAACATTATTCAAACTAGCTCTGCTGATGCTTAGATCGTGTGTTTTTTTTCGCTGTTGTGGCTCTCTGGTGTTTAAAAATACCTCAGTGTGATGGTATTGTGGTGTGATTAGAAGTGCAGTCAATCTGCCAAAAGAATTTATCGCTCCTCGTCTCTATTTGTGCGCCGCCCGGAGCCATCACCAGGCATTGCTGGTCTGCAGCAGGTGGGGGATGATATATTTAGGAGCTCATTAAGACATTCAGACTAATCCCTTATCATCATAAGATTAAAGGGAGGGAGAGTGAGCGAGGGATATTAATAACGACAGCGAGCCTATTCAGGGTGCGAACATACGCAGTCGCAGAGCTAAAATAGACGAGGTGGGATTTAAATGAGACGAAGTGAAGGAGGAGGGGGGCATGCACGGGTCTATAATATCCAGGGAAGAGGAACAAAAGGCTTTTTCATCAGGAGAGGGATGCTTTAGAGTGGCTTTGGAACAGAACGTAATGTGTGGAGGCACTCATAGCAAACCATTATTTTCATATGCCTCATTGACCTCTGTGACAGATCGGTGCAGGATTAAACGTCCTTTATTGTTCAGGCATCGACTTTAGGCCAGAGCTGACTCCATACACAGAACATGAACAACGGTAACGTATAACCAACAGCTGATGAAGCTGCACTGAGTGTTTAAGCAGAGTTGACCCGTTTTTAAAAAAAAAAACATTCCAGTGGAATCACAGTGCGGGGATCTTCTCTGCAATTCTTCTAAACTTTCTCCAGTACCAAAAAACCATAGTGTAACTTTTTTGATGCCTTGAGAAGGCACAGTCTCACACCTTCTCACATTTTCTCTCTGAGATTCAAAGAAAATGTGGTAATCAGCATAAAGACTTATTTCTTCTTATTATTTTAATGTCTGAAATCGCTGACGCAGGCTAGGTGTCAGACAAAGCGATACACAGACTGTCTTAAGGGGAATCTCCACCGCATAGATTTTTAAACGCTAAAAGAAAGCAAGAACACGTTTATTGTTAAAAACACTTTGTAATGGATGAAACCAGCAAACATATAAGAGGTGCTGCTTTGTCCACAGGGGGCGCCAAAATCAACACAACACAAAGTTCCTTGCTGGAGCTTAAACGTACTGCATGTGTCCGAATATAAGATGTTTCTGTTCACTGACAGATGTTGGCATCTGGATAAATACAGGTGTTTGGTCAGCGTTATCCATCTGATCAGGGGGTATGAGGGTTTTCTTTAAGTTAATCACACAGCGCTGAAAAGACAAAAGCTTCTCTGAAGTCTGCGCGCAGCTGCTGCGTACCTTCGTTCTGTTTTCAAGAACATACTCACACTCTCTCCTGTCAGTCTCTTGAAAGCCACTTTAAGGTCCACAGTTAGATTAAATCTGTTAACATTTTTAAGACGGTCTTTTTGGCAATGACATTTCTTGTCACAACACTCTGTAACACTGTATTTAATGGCTGCTTGACATAGATAACCATCATCTTAAAATTAGCGTCATAAGTCTGCCTCAGCTGTCGGTTAACCTGACTGACTTTTGAGACTCTTGGTTCTGAGCGATCTTCTTGTCCCGCCCTGGTTCTGCAGCTGAGTGAAAGCCTGCCTCAGTAATGGGCGGTGCTCTGGATTGACAGATAAGCTGCTCTGTCTGAACGTGTGATGGCATAAAGAGGTCTACACTCCAAATATAAGACAACCCCATTTTTATTCAGATGTGTTTCATTAGAAAATAAAGTCTTATATTTGTAACAATGGGGTAATTTAATGTGATAAAATGTTGTGTTTTAAAAGAGTGTGAAGTTGCAGGAGGTAAACTCACAGTCACACTTCATGCCCTGGTGGATGAGGCCGTACAGCAGGGAGCCACAGTGGTCACAGAACGTGGGGCTCCCATAGGTGTGGATCTTAAACTTGTGCTTTGTTCGGGGATCCTGGAGGAATCAAAAGAGAAGAAAGGGCCGATTAAAGGTCTGAAACAATGGCATGAGTGGAAAGGTTAAAAGAAAAACAATGCATGTCGTCCCCCACTCTTTCCTCCCAAACATTTCCTCCCTCTCTCTTCAGCTGTCTTATCTTATAAAGGTGAAAAAAAGGGTTACAACAAGGCCGTACATTCAGACATACTGTCCCTAAAAAACACTACATCTGCTTTTGTCATCCTTTGACACTCACTGGTTTTTGAATGAAGACACATTTTCTGTTTGAGTGACACGACTGAATCGCAGGACTTCACCTTGGGTCATGAATAAAGGTCACTCAGGAGACACTCCAGAGCTGATTGCAGACCTGCCTGCAATCAGCTCTTTTCTTTTTCTTTTTCTTTTTCCTAAAGTGAAGAGCCAATCAATCTGTAACAACCTTTTATTAAAGCTTTGTTTTTGTTTTGTCTTTTCCTCCACTGGGAAATGATCATTATTATGTTTGCACTCAATGGAAGTGAATTCAAGAGCAACAAAGCAGGACACACAGTTCAGAGCCCTGTTGTAATGATTCCTTTTGAAAGCTGTACTCAGAACCTCCCCTCCCCCCAACACACACACGAACACACACAAACACAAATGAATGTACAGGTTCTGATGCATAATAAAGCTATTAGTGTCTGGTGTAATGTCGACTTCTTTGCTGTGCAGTGAACGGTTTGTGTAGGCACTGTTTGTGCAAATAGCCATCAAGGCCGTCAGAGCTTTTCATTCATCATTTGCCTCCTGCTATGGTCGTTCATTGCCCGAGGCTCTGAACATCAATACTTAATGAGTCAAAGCTTGAAAAACATCAGGGTTTGATGCAGAAAATTACTCTGCACATGAGTGTGTGTAAGCCTGGGTAGAGCAGAGTTTAAATGACGTCATTGTAAACGGCAAATATTACTGTTTCCTTCTGCAAACCTCACACTGTTTCCTACATGCAGGACAAAGTTCAGTTTACACTCTGCCCACTTTTTATCTGCTGTCCTTCAGTGACACACCTTCTGAGGTAGCTGCTCCACTCCACAGCGGGTTTACGGTGTTGCTCACACATTTTATGGGGGAAACTATTTGCATGTTCATGCTCTGAGATTCATCCTGCAATCAAGACGTGTGCATCTTATCAACATAAGAACAATCACAAAACATTTGACAGGTTGGATGTTGCATCACAGCAGATGTGCACGACTTGAAGAGGAAGCGTCACACCAAAAGAAAGACATTAGGATTCACATAGGTTGTACCAAGCATCAAAGGAAGAGGTTTACAGCATGTGGGCTTCAGAGCAGAGAGGGGAACCAATTGTCTGTTTTAATCAAATCCTCTAATCTATCAGCGGGGATGCCTTCCAACAACACGAGACTTATCATTTACCAGGATTGCTAGTATCTTTATCACCCATCCCCCCCTCCTCAGAGTGTTAAATCTGTTTTAATTTAGCTTTATGGTGTTTTCTCACATGCACACAGCTCCTGAAAATGTCCCTAATTTTTAACTTTTTTTTACCCTAACTTTACCCCAACATTTCCTGCCAGCCCCTCAGTGAAATTTCAGCATGAAGTCAGGTGAGCAGATGTGTGAATGTAGCGGGTAATATTCAGGAAAATCCACAGCGAACCAGCTAGCAAGCGGGCTATGGTGATGCAGTTTAAACCACTTTACCGGTGAGTGACCAGTACAACTGTTGAGCACATACTGAAGCTGCTTCAAACTTTTTTCTGCTTCTCTGCTTGCAGGAAGGTTTTTTCCCACTCATTCGTTGATACTGTGAATATGTCCAATCACACAGCGCTGTCATCATAGCATCAGACTCTAGTTGCCCTCCACAGCATCCTGTTTACTCCATGTCCACATGAAGTGTGTCTTTAAATTAAGAAAGAAGGAAAGATGCATATGGACAAGGCATCTGTTGCCTGCAGAGATGTCCCCCTCTCCAGTGTGACAGAGTGAAAGTCTCCTGCTGTGAGGTGCATGTGCGAACAAGCAGCTCAGGATGGCAGAGGCAACCTGTCTGAAATGTTCTAGACATTTTCAGTAGTGCATGTTTGAAAAAGGCTAAAGGGAGACCTTCCAGGATGTAAAACAGAAACATCTGCAGCTGTGCATGCAAGATGTTTCAGCCTGTTTTACATCCACCGACTCAGAGTGCACGAGTACAGGAATCTTCATTTTGGTTTGGGATAATGATTTATGACATTTAATTGACATTCAAAAGGAGGGAATGGAGAAGTGTTGACCTTCTGAAGTTGTGTTGTTTATATATGTACATCAATGTTTTAAAAAAAGATAGTTCAAAATTATCTTTTAAAGCAAAAGAGAGAGCGAGCACTGAGTAAATTGCACAAACAGATTGGCAATAGTGTGTCGCTCAAACGTTGCCAATGTATTTGTGCTTTTACACAGTGTGCAGGAGATTGGGTGCCATTTTTAGTTATTCAAGACAATAAATCACACTTTTATTGTTTAGACTTCTATTATTGTTGCCATGGTATCAATACAGCTATCGATATTGTTTGATTCTTACTCGTACCAAATCAAAGTTTAAAATTCAGATATCCTGACAACCCTAATCACAACATTGTAAACAATGACAGAGTTTTATAATTTATGGACTGGACTTTAATTGTAAGACAACAATAAAAAGACAGCCTTCTTCTGTTCTTCATTTGCATTTCTCATTCCTCAACACCAGTCCTGTATTTGCATTGGCAGCTTCCTTCCTTGTTTTTTGAGTAAATGCAGCACCTCTTGTTTTTTATCAAGGGGTAGATCACATCTGATATATTTTGAATATTCTCGAATGGTCACATTAATATAGTCAAAACATGGAGATGGACGATTACTCTGTCTGTTGCATCTGTCTCACTTTGGACTGTCTGCCGATCTATAGCAGATACTGTAGTATCAAACTAAACAAACAGCCCCGGGTGCAGACTCTACCTTCAGTAAATATCTGCGGGTGTTAAGAAAAGCCAGAAGCTGTAATGTGATCTGTTGATCAAGCAGAACCAGTTATTACACTAAGTTGTTTCTTTTTGTTCACTGAGCAGTGAATGAGTGATGAGGCCAGAGTAAACATAAGCCATGATGCAACAAGAACACCCATATGGAAACTGTTATTGTGACAGTATTTGGTGACAAGCTGAAGGTAGACGGAGCATGGACAGGTTTAAAGGCCACAGCAGGACTTGCACTGTAGAGCACGTTGTCCCGTTTCATTCATTCATTCGTTTGTTCCGAGCCCTCGACCTGCAGCTCATGAAGCACTCTCTGCTGGAGAGAAATCTGAAGGATGAGCACTTTTCCAAAAACCCCTTCAGAGTGCTTTCCTGCTCATTGTCAGGTTGTTTTGTGCTGTAAATCCTCTCTGGCTCACGGCCTGTTTAAGTGGATTTGCATTGAGAACATAACCCTCACTTTGCGTTCTCTGGAAACAGAAAAGCTTGATTACCCGAGGAAGGATACACTATTATTCTATCTGCTGCAGTTTTAAAAAAAATCCCCTTTTTTGCTTGTTATCTTGAGAAATTAAGTGTCCAATGAGTAATGAATAAATACATCATCAGTACGGGGAGCAGCGTGTCATATATCTCAGTGAGAGGGGACAGAGTGGCATGGTGCGGCGCCACAGTCGTCCATGCTCCATGCTGTTTGCCATTTCAGTCAGGTTGACACTGGACTCACGCAGCAGAGTCTCTCAGGCTCCTCAGATCTCACTTTCAGTCTGCCATTTCCCTGCCCGTCAGTCTGCAGAGGCTTTACTCTTCAACAGGACAAAGAGAAATGCTTCATCTGTCTGTCTTCGAGTCATTCATCCATGTTTATAAGTTTCCTTATCTGGAAATAAAAGCTACTTGTATTAAATTCAAAGGGACAGGAACATATTTACTGCACTTTTTAGTCAGTAAAACACATTCTAGTAGTTTCTATATGTACGCCCTCAGTGGCAGTCGATTATTATGTTCAAGCTATACCTCAGCCGTCCACCACTAGCCACGACTGTAGCCAGAGACCGGCTGTAGCCCCGGCCAATGGGCCTTCTCCTGACTCTACTGCCTGGATGTAAACAAGCACAGTGAATGGATAGCTATCGTATGAGCAGTGCGTCTGCTAGTTTTTTTTTTTTTTAAGATTTATTTTTGGGCTTTTTCTGCCTTTATTGTAGAGATAGGACAGTGGATAGAGTCGGAAATCAGGAAGAGAGAGAGAGAGGGGAATGACATGCGGGAAAGTAGCCACAGGCTGGATTCGAGCCCGGGCCGCCCGCATGGAAGACTACAGCCTCCATACATGAGGCGTGCGCACCAACCACTGCGTCAGGTGTCAGGTTGAACTGGCATATCGACCGGAGCAATGCCTAACCACATTATCAGAATCAGAATTACTATATTAATCTCGGGGAAAATTCTGAGGGACTTTTGGGCTTGTAATGTAACACGTACACACATACACAGTTAATCTCCCACTATGTTGACGAGCAGAGGCGCCTGAATGGACAACCTTGAAAATTGAAATGGTCATTGCAGAGGAATGTGCGAGGAAATGTTCGCATGCTCATAACAGTGCGTTTTTGCTTTTCATGGGGACAAAGATGTTTTTGAGAACTGAGCAGAGAAGGAAAACTTTGTGTGGACTAGGCCTAAATGTCCACTGATGCAGGAGCATTGTGTTCACTGTGGGCTCGTTGTTAGCTAAACATGCAGTGGGAGTTTTAATAGCCGACGCTGTAGAGCCACCATAGTAGTGACATGTTCAAGTGACGTGATGTTTGCCGGTAGCCCTCCCTGATCACAAATCAGGTTCGGTGACTCATTGTAACTCTTTGGAACAAATTAAACTGGGATGTAAAAAATAAACATGTATGCAGGACAAGTGTAAAAAAAATCTTGTTGTACGTGGAGCGGCTTAGTAACCCACTGTTCACACTTCACATTGTATTCTGTTGATAAAGGCAGCTACATGCCAAA